TCAAATACTAGTAACCTACGAATATCCTCTACTCTTACCGGCCATGTTTCACTGCCATAAATTAGGACGGAACGAACTGCTGCACAGTAAACACGTCCTTTGGTTGATAGACGGATATCTCGCCTACGCCATAAATGACGCAAGTTGGCAAAAGCTAGTCGAGCCTTCTCTATTCGTGCTGAGATTTCGTCACACACCAAACCACAAGGGCTGATGAGACTTCCAAGATAAGTGAAGCGGTCGACACACTCAACTACTTCACTCCCTATCACTAGTTCGGGTGTCGATGTAACCCAATCCTGAAGCAACATTTTGCATTTCGAGGGAGAGAATCGCATCCCGAACATGCTTGCATTGTTGCTTAGAGTGGTCAGAAGACTCTGCATTTTGTCAGCGTCTTCACCAAATAAAACTATGTCATCAGCATATTCTAAGTCAACAAGTGAATCTCCCGGTGAAAGTTCAACCCCTGGAAATCTAGATGAGGAGAGTGTTATATCTAAAACTACGTCAAAAACAAAGTTGAACAAGAATGGGGAGAGTGGACAGCCCTGACGAACACCACTTGAGGTAATCAATTCTGATGACAATTCGCCATAAGTTCTCACTCGACCAGTTGTTTTCGAATAGAGAGCCTTTACAAGGTTAATGTACTTCTTTGGTACTCCTTTCAATGACAAACATTGCCACAGAACCTCACGATCAACAGAGTCGAATGCCGCCTTAAGGTCGAGAAATACTACCATTGTGGGGCGTCTGAATGTGTGTCTGTGTTCTAGAACCTGACGTAGTGTGAATATCTGGTCTGTACAACCACGTCCAGGTCGAAAACCGGCCTGGTATTCTCTAGTCTGCTCTTCACGAGCTTTGATTAGGCGTCGAAGTATTATTGAAGCTAATATTTTAGACACTATATTGGTCAAACTTATTCCTCTGTGATTGTCACAAGAGGATTTTTGCCCTTTCTTATAGACTGGCACAATCAGTGATTGAGACCAGTCAGATGAGATTACGTCCAGTTACCAAATTCTACCTAAGACTTCGGTTAATCTCATTGCTAATACTGGACAACCATCCTTAAAAATCTCAGGAGTAAACCTGTCAGGGCCTGCTGCTCTCCCTCGTTTCAGATTTCCTATGGCTTTTTCAACTTCGTAAAGGGACGGAGGACTTACATTAAATTGCCATTCAGGTCGACTAGAGATCGTGGGAAACCGAAGTGTGGCTGAAGGCCAGTTGAACTGATCCCTAAAGTGTTCTGCCCATCGATCCAATCTCCTGGATTGAGAACGTATAATATGTCTATCTTTCTCTGAGATTGTTTCGCTAACAGTCGGTTTCCTAATACCGGTTTCCTTAACAAGTCTGAACAATTGTCTGCTGTTACCTACTGCCGCTGCCTTTTCCATCTCTCTTAATTTCGCTACCCACCACTGTTCGCGATCATTGCGTAGACTTCTTGTCAGCTTGCGCTTAAGCTGACTCCGCTCTTCATTATGTTCAGAGCCAGGTGGAGTGAGTTTCCGAGCATCTATCAGTGAGATAGATGCTGCTGAGATCCAGTGTTTCTTCCTAACCTTCTGGTTAACCTTACTAGCAGATATCACTGCTGTTTCCATAGCTTTTCGGATATCATTCCATGCTTCCTCGGGGTGGCCATCACCTATTTGGCTGCCTAACTGTCTTCCTAGTTGTTCCTGAAATATACTCTTAGCTTGACTATCATTAAGTAGGCCCCTAAGAGGTTTCCTTACAGCGTCTTTCCTACGTCCAGTAAGACGCAAGCAAATACGCGCTCGCACTAGAGCATGATCTGAATCTAAGCATGTGCTCCAGAATGAGCGACAGTCTTTTATCGAACCCCTCCATCGGTGGCTGATAGCGATGTGATCTATTTGGGTCCAACGTTGGGACGAATTAGGGGGTCGCCTTGTTAAAAGATGTTTTTCCTTATGCTTAAATTGAGTAATTGCAAGAAACAGGCGGTTATCTGAGCATAGCTGCAACAGACGGTCGCCATTATCTGTTCTTTGAGCCACGACACTATAAGATCCACCTAGTTATCTTTCCCTATCGTTTAGTTTACCTACTTGAGCATTAAAGTCACCGGCCACTATTACTACATCAGAGCGCCCAGCTTTTCGGAGAAGGTCGGAAAGCTTTCTGTAAAACTCATCTTTTACATCATCTGAGCTGCAGTCAGTAGGAGAATGGGCAAAGACGACGAAGAGGCAACGACTAGTGTCCCTATCTTTCCGGATTTTTACTGTTCCGTTCAGTCGGACAGCGCACAAACAACTGTCTACTGGGATCCACTCTAAGAGAGCTAATTCTGCTCTGGGACTCAATGCTATACCTACGCCGGCGAGGCCACGGGAAACAGAATCAAGGCTTCCAGATACACGAAGCGTAAATCGAGTCGGTTCTTTATTTCGGCATGGTGTTGTCAAATGAATGACGCTACTCGGATCTTGTATGCGCGTTTCGAAGACGCAGCACACATCGATGGCACGAGAATCTAAAGTCCTAGCTAAGGAAGCCTGCTGTCCTACTTGGCACAGTTTTCGGACGTTAAAAGCTCCTACGTGTAGTTTAGAGCGTGGTTTCAGGAGACCAGGAATAGCGTTCCACGTACTCGAATCGTTTGCCCTAGTGGTGCGAGGTGATAAAGAGACGTGAGGAGGGTTAGTCATGGAGATAAGAGAGGTATTAGGTATGTGAAGGATTTGAAAGTGATCAACTTGGTCTCGTGTGCTGTTACGGGTATGAGGGCTGATGTCACTTCCCGGCTGCCCACACCGTGGAAGGGTATTTCTTGAGGAACCTGAAAAGGAAATTGGATTAGTGTTGGTCTTGACGACCTGGGAGCGTGACCGCAGGGCCCAAGGGACAGCTGCTTGAGGCCGGTCGCGCACGGCCTGTTTGTGGAAGGTTTTTCACGTGTTAACTCCGTTCTTCAAAGGGCCTTACCGCCGGAGACGGAAATCCGTGAGGTAAAGTGAGGTGTGACATTTTTAGGGTCGACCTTTTCTAACCCCACCCCTCCTTGTGGGAAGGCAGCATCACTGTCATGCTGGTTGTCCGAGGGAAACACCTCACTGCTGTCACACCTCTCTACAGTTAGCAGTACGACTTCGCTCTCAGACCATGAGTTGCTGTTTTTAGTCTTACCGTTCGCCAATCGACCTGCCTGGCATGGTAGAACCTACAGGAACATATGTTCCAGCCAATATAGCTCAGTTGGGTCATCACGATAGGCAAGCCCGACCACCGCGTCAAGGTAGCAGCTTCGGTCGGGCAACTGAAAGTATCATGATAGAAAGAAATATTTTTAAGCAGATGTGGATGTCGGCTAGCAATGGAATCCAGAACACACATTTCGTCCCATTTTGGACTCGTCACTTGGATGTACTTGCAGAGTTTATGTTTACTCTGGGACTCGAGCCCAGTATAATTCGCTTCAAGCTCTAGGATGCAGATAAATTTAACTGACGAGTCCGGAATAGCATGAAAAGATTGTTCTGGATTCCATTACAAGCCACCATATAACTTACTTTATAATACCTGTGACTTATGACTAATATCGAGGCGATCCACACAGAATCCACATTTGTCAAAAAAGACTGAATAATTGCAGTTCTAAACATCAATAGGATGATCCGAGCAACTAATATATATGAATTAAGAAGTTATTGTTGTTTAGTACCCATATGATCATCTACATGTTTATTGCCAAGGTCATATTAAATGTATTACTAAATAACCCTCTCAATAAACATTCTAAATGTCATGAGTATCTTTTCAGATATGATGATTTATGAGATTAAATCTGATTAGTTCGTCCATAAATTATAGTCTCAGCTAAATGACAGTAAATATGATTGAGTAAATGTTGACAGTATTTGCTTTTCTAAGCAAAGATGGGTAGTAGCTAACAGTGTAATCCAGGACGCACGTTTCGTTCTATTGGGGACTCGTCAGCTGGACGTACCTACATCTCAGAGTTGATGTTCACTCTGATACACGAACCCCGTACCATTCGCTTGAAACGCCATTGCGTTATCCACCTAGCTACTGAGTTCTGATAACCCTTTGCTTATAAAATGGGGTAAAGTTTTATTCACTTCGTGTTATTGACTTGTATCTTCTGATTGCTATTTACGACTGTAATTGATCAGTCTCTTGTTGGTATATGTGTATCTTGTGCGGATTGCCTCGATATTGTCTAAAGTCACAAGCATTATAAGCAAATATTTACTTTTATTGAAAAGCATTTCAAAGTTTCTATTAAAAAAAGCAACAACTATGCTTTCATGTCAATTTATGCGACATCAGTTTAAATGTAGACAGAAATCTATTTTATTTTGATTGTGTATTTAAAAACAAAATCAGGGTCAGTAAACTACTTTGTATAAAGTAAAATTATGTAGATAAATAAAATTTATGTTCGTTTAAATGTTGACATTCACTAAAGATTATCTAGATCATTCTGAACAGTTTAGACAAGGAATTGACACAATGTAATGCTTCTAAACGTATCTAGTGATTATCGCAACAATCCACTGTGTCTTTTTTTTTGTTCTGGATTGGACAAAATAAAATAAAGTATGTATAGTTAAACATTAAACTATCTAAATTCACTTCGTTTTGTTTAACTGTATCTTTCCATTTTTAATTAGGACTGTAATTGATCAGTCCTTTGTTGGTATATGTTTATCCTGTGCGGACTACCTCGATATATCTCAACTCTGAGAAGCATGTACATCTAGCTGACGAGTCCGAAATAAGATGAAACGCACGTCCAGGATTCTACTGCTAACCACTATCTATCTTTGATTAAAAAGCTTGTGACTTAAGGCGATATCGAGACAATATGCACAGGATACACATATGCTAATAAGAGACTGATCAATTACAGTCCTAAACATCTTTGGGAAGATACAAGCAAACAATATAAAATGAATTTACAATTAATTATGTTTCAATTACATTCAACTTACATTAGCTACAATGGATATAATTTGTAAATTAGTATCAAGCATATTATCAAAATTCACTGGTTCTGTCCAAGGGCTCCATAATTGGTGTTCTAAAACCAGTACACGTAAGCTAGAATCAAGTAAACGAAAGAAAATGCAAAAGAAAATAAGTTGATTGAATTGCAATTTTTTGATATCAAAATTGAACATTGAGCAGTAAAAGTTCTATAAGAAAAGAGAATTTTAGAAGTAACTACAATTGAATGAGTTTATGAATGAAGTACCATTTCATGTAAGATGGTTGAAAGTGGTTAATAGGATACATAATCAATGTTTATTTCATATATAAAAAGGTGGACTTCCTGGAGTTCTAGTGAGGAGCTGTGATCAGTGGAGTTCAGTCCATATCGAGTGGAGATAGTTATCCACCTCAGACAATGAATGAAGAATTTCACAAGACAATAGATCTTTTGAAATAAGGCATGAACACCATTGAATGCTGGATCAGTAGTCTGGAGGTTATGCGTTAGTTTACGAGACCGAAGGCCGTGGATTCGAGTCTCACGTGTGAGATTATGGATGCCCATTGCCCAGGAACCCCAGACTGGGACGAAACGGCCGTCCAATGTTTCCAGGTTTTCAATGGTGATTTAAAACTGATCAACATTCTCCACAACCCTATACTAAAAAAATCTATTTTTTATGAAATAAACGTCAAGAAAGCATGCTTCATTTATTAATTACTATAGAACTTCACATCATTCATTTTTCATAGATTTTATTGAGGAATATTCTATGAAAATCTTTTCAGTCGTTTTTATAAATGACGAGTGACAAATTAGTTAGTAATAAAATAAAACTTTTGTTTACTACAGACTGATATTTTGCTTAATTTAATAGGAATTTCTTGTCAAAACTACTTATCAGTAGTCATGTTCACAACATTGGAAAGAAGTAACCTTTTAAGTAAGGTAAAAACTTTAGTCATCTTTCATTCACTCAATTAATCGATCGATCGATCGATGAATTAATCAATCAATCTAGTTCTACTTCATACAATGCATAAATGAAATGAAAATCATTCCATTAGCATTTTCAATCTAATTGTAGTATACAAATCATGCGATTTATGTAAAAGATACCCAAACCAAAGCAGGTGGTTTTCGTAATGGGGTCACACTCCGAACCTTTGATCTAAAAGTTTAATCCAAAAAGCAGTGGAGCAACGTCAGGAGATACAGTCCTACGGTAGCCGGGGACCAACAGTTGGTTCATCCTGCATTTGTCCGCTCAGGATCCTGGAGTCCATGTGTCAGTGTTTCCCAACTCCACTAGGTGGATCTTTTTATATCCACCAACCCGGTTAAAGCGCCAGACATTTGCTTTTCATCCTCTCAATTCTGTAAGCAACACCCCTGTCACGAGAACGCTGTGTTTCATCAATAAAAGAGTAAAGTTTTATTCATTTATAATTACCAAACAAAATAAAACCCAACAAAATTACTAACTGACCTGTAAGAGTTTTGTGGTTGAAAAAGATCACGTGAATCAAATATAATACTTGAATTATTATAAATATTTGGTAGAACTGAAAATTCCTCTGTATTTGATTTGTTCTGTAAATTTAGGTAGTCATTTGAATATGTCATTATAGATTTAGTTTGTTGAATATTTCCTAAATGTTTTACACCTAATTGATAATGTAATTCTTTAATTGGACTATTATAAACTGTCCATTTTATGTGTATAGCCATTGTAAAATTTGCCAATCGTTTCACAATCGGTCGTGATACTATATAACAAGAAGGATTACAAAAAAATGTAGTGAATATTCATAGGATACATTTTAATTACCCGTCCTAAGCATAATCAATCTGTATAGGTTTTTTTTAAAATTTATTTCGCTATTTCCTACGAATAATTTACAGGGACTATATTTTTTTAAAATATTATTATTAGCTTTATTCAATATTATAATTTTGGTACAATATAGAATTCTCAGCTCAAAGTATTTCAACAAGTTTCCGTTTCTTTCTTCTTGGTCGGTCCTGGCGATAAATATTGAGGAAACGCCAGTTAGATGTTAGCACTTCAGTGAATGAACAAGTGAATAATGTGCATTCTTTTCGTTGTACATTGCCAGCAACCATATTGTCTCTTATTGAATTTTCTGTAACTTTGACAACGAAAGGTTGTACACTTTTCAGAAACGCAGCAGAATAGGTTATGCGATTAATAAACATAATGATATATTAAAACAAACAACAATAGATAACTTGTTGAAATATCTAGATGGCAGGAACAGGTAGCCCAGATGCTCAAGCAGGCCGCCCTAGTTGTTGGTGTGTTGTATTGTATCCGACTTGTTAAAGATTCACAATGATAGATTGGTTTTTACTAGCTTGTATCAATTGTGACATAGGCAAGATATCCATCTACTAAACAAAGAACTAGTTTACAGAACAGTATTTTGCTTCATGAGAGTGAAGTACGTTCATTCACAATTTAAAAAAAATAACTGTGAATTACTAGTATTCGATCATAGGTATTTTTAAAGCATTGCTTGTATATGTTTGAAGCAATCAGTTATATGTTCGAAATCTGTTTGTGTTTGACCATGAATATTGAAAATTAAAGATTCCCATTGTGAAAATTAGAACAACACATATAAGCGAACAATTGTTTTCAATTAGATCGTCATCAGACTTTACTCTAATATACATGAATATTTATATGAAAATGTTAAACCAATCAAGGCAATATGGGTCAATAATCACAGTAAAATAGAATACGCCACCGCACATAATAAGTAAAAATACAAAGTGATAATAGGAAGACAAGTGTACTGATAGTAGTAAGAATAATAAAATAAGATAACAAAAGTCTTATCAATAGTTAAACGTTGGAAATAGAAGGTCAAATGTGGGTAAATAGACTAGGCATAGTCATCACAAAACATTAAGATCCTTACGTAATAATAAGTGTGCAAATAGTTAGATAGTAAAGAACACAAACGGGAAGAGGGGGAAAATTACAAACAAATACTACTAGATGTGAAAATAAGGCTAATGATAACAAAATAAAATAAAAGTCGTTTGTTAAGTTATAACTGGCCATAGGAGGGATAGGTAGGTTACGAATTTCTTCTGTACACATAAATTGGGGTTATATATACGAATTCTTATGGCTTCGGGTATATGTACGAGGCGGGAACGAACTCCGTTGGTAAATGATGGAGGTATACGATAGATCACTCGAAATGATTTCCATTTATCTACAGCATGACCGCTATCAATAAAATGTGCCCCCACATATATCGAATGATTTGTGTGGTGCATGTATATTTGATGCATTCTTGTAACAATGTTTATATGTAGAAATAAATAAATAAATTTGATAACATTATTTTTCAATCGTTTTCCCAACGGAGTTGTTTAAATGCCATTTCCGATTTCTTTCCGTGATTGTCTGTTCAGAATAACGATTGTATACATTCCGAAATCCATTCTCGTATTTGACTTATTTATTTCCCTTATTCACTAACGCGATTCATGTTGATGCAAATACACTACAGTTGGAGGCATGTATATTTCGATAGCAATCATCATACAATCCAATTAGTATCAGATTTATCAGTATGGGGTTGTGGTGATTATTAAGTTTTTGATTGAGATCATCAACCGATTGATTTTAGACTACCATTAAAAACCTAGAAGTAGTGGATGTCTATTTTGTCCTGTTGTGGGACTAAGCAGTAAGCATCCACGGTCCCGTTCGCGGAATTCGAACACATGGTCTTCGATATCACACGCCAACCCTTAACATCTAAACCACTGAGCCGGCATTCAACAGCATAAATGTCTAACTTCAAATAGTTCACAAAATTGCGCAACCATCTCCAATTGTACTCAGTCAGATACCTGTCTCTACCCAACACCGATTAGCTCCACCGATCACGCTGATGTTAGATTTCGTGGTGGAAAATCTTATAATCATCACTTGTAGTGATTATACTAGTTTGAATGAATTTTCGAAGTTGGTGTTCATTTTTCCCACCCATTATTCAACTGTAATGCAGTTAAATGTTCAATCGAATTCAATGAGTACAACTACTCCAAAACTTTATATATTACTACAGTGTAATATTATTATTATTATTATTTTCATCAATGAATATCAACTGAATAAAACATCTCTTAGTATACTCTTCTCATCATTCAGCATAGTGATATTTGTTTATTAATTGTTCAACTATCACGTTAACAGAATGTTATGACTTATTTAAGTTGGTTGGATTTCTGATGGTAACCTTTAGGAGATACGTATCATTAGCACCGTTTTAGTTGATCATTTGAAATGAAGTAAATATTGGGTAGATGTTTAATAATAATAATAATCTTTTTATAGCATCTCAATAAGTAGAAAATTAAAATTTTGTCATTTGTTTGGCTTACTTCTTCAGAGTATAAATAATCGAAACCGGATATTAATAAATTTATCATATATACTATTAATATAAGTGATAAATGAAGATAACCAAATGAATCTAATAATTTGTAAATAACAACACTTCATCGAAAGTAATCGGATATGAATAAGAGGAATAGAGATGAAAAATTTGTTATAAAGCTTTATTAGAGCTTTATTCTCGTCATATTTATGTGATCATAGAATGTTTTATACTTTTAATGAAGTTTTGTTCTTTGAGCTGGTTAGTTTGATCGACCATCTACCTGAATTACAAATCTTTTCTACTATATCAAATGTTTGATACTATGATCACAAAAGATCTACATTTGTGAATGTAATAAATTAAGTTATTTGAACAATGAAAAAGGTGTAAATTATCATAGATTCTCTATACTGAGACAAAACGGTCATCTAATGCTTCCAGGTTTTCCATGATAGTCTAACTTCAATTGACTTATGAATCCAACTAAATCTAAATCTCAATACATAGTGCCCGCAGTGTCGAGTCACCTAGACTGGTGGCCACATTGCAACATGATCGATAGCATTCGATCTGCACTAATAAGGACTAGACAAGCATGACATTGATCACCACCCAATGATCAATCAATTGTGAATTCAACTATTAAAATTCTTTATTTGTTCAATTTACTTCGAAATTAGATTGTCCTTTAGACGTATTAAATATCAAGTAGCCAATTATCTTTAGGTACATTTTTGTATATAAATATACAGTTTCGTATTATTTATTATTTTAGGCAACACATATAATGGGACTGTATATATGTTTAGATGTAAATAAAATTACTAATGGTGAATACTACAAGGTGGATTAACTGTCATGCAATCATGATACTGATTGTTCAGTCAGTTTAGTAAATTTAAAAATGCACTCCTATAAGTTATGATTTAAGTGATATACATTGAGGAAATCATCAAACTGTATCACGAGACAAGCGTTAACTTGGAATCCTGAAAGAGAAAGGTCGAAGAACACACTGCATCGAGAATTGGAAGCAGATATGAAAAAAAAACTGAATAGCAACTGGAAACAACTGGAAATGATTGTTCAAGATAGAGTTGGATAGAGAATACTGGTTAGCAACCTATGCTGCTCTATGAGGAATAACAGACATAAGTAAGTAAATAAGAATTGGACTTCCGTTCACCTACTTATGTTTGACCAGTTAAGTGATCACATTGAATCCCTTCTTTTTAAAAAAAACCGATATGTCTCAAAGGTGTATACATGAACTCTACTAAACAAAAGTATTTCAATGTACTTTTATTGAATGCAAGTTTTAAACATCTTAGTAACTAAATAACAAAAATCTTGTAGGTATATGTATAGATTACCTTTGATTTGTGGTTTTTCATTATAATGAATAGTTTGTTTTAAAACTAATTCCTTTTCATTTCTTTTAATAGGTAATTCATATTTACTATGAATTTCTGATGGAATAGATGATAATGATTTAGTCATAAATGATTCATGTTTCATAAGATTTTTATGTGTATCTTCATCATTATTTGATTCTGAAAAATGATAACAGTATGACAATGATTGCGTGCAATATATATATATATATACATATCAAATAAGAATGTTATCTATTCGGACAAAAGAAAAAGTAAATTTATGGTAAATAAAATGTCCATTAAATAAGAATTTTCTAAGTATTATTATTATTATTGGAAGGGGGTTTTATGGAGATAATAGTCATTTAATAATTGAGTTCATAAATCAATTCAAGTTAGACCAACATGGTGGTCTAGAGAGAAGTCGTGACAAGTGGAATTCAACTGGGTCTGTTGTGAGATAGTAACTCATTGATGATAGTGATGGACGTTGGCGCGATTTTGTGGATTGGTTGGAGCTAGACATTAACACCGTTAAATGCTGGCTTAGTGGTCTGGAGGTTAGGCATTCGCACCCGAGACTGATAGTTCCTGAGTGCGAATCCTACGGGACGGGATCGTCAGTGAACACTGCTGAGGTGTCTCATACTAGGATGAAACGACCATCCAGTGCTTCCAGATTTGTCGTGATGGTGTAGCTTCAATTGACTCATGAATTCAACTATTGAATGTTATAGATTGAATAAGATTGAAAAAAGGTCAGTTATTACCTATAATTAAGCTATGATGAACAATCTGATAATAAAGCGACTTCATTATATTTAGTCGATATGTATTTGTGAATTATAAATTTAATGAATAAATGAAAACAATTCAATTTGTGATTATAATTTAGATTTTTGACTTATTTTGGTGATGAAATACTCAGTCCATCACTAGACCTTAGTTTACTATTGATTATTATAGAGCCACTGAAATATCACTGACCAGTAGCCCAATCATCCAGTAGTTGGGTCGCCGAATATCGAACAGATAATCGATCCCTGTCAAGATCAAGGACATCCAACACGCATCAGTTAATCGTACACTATGGACTGGCATATGCAGTGGTGGTCTTACTACCTTCTATGTACTCATTCTTACTAATATATTTTCGTAATAACTTCCTTTGTGTTATACGGACTTCAAAGCAACTTTGATAGATCGAAGGAGTAATCCATGTTAGATGCTGACCTCGAAGTGTGAGTTCGAAGCTAGCTGCTAGTCACACAATTCCCGTGTAACTCGAGTAAGCCCCCAGTTATTCAACATAGATCATCTACGTTAGTGATATACACAACTGTTCAATCTTAACTTATCAATTCGATGTTCAATGTTGAAGAATTCACTTACCAATTATTAGTTGAAATCGTTGTTCACCTAAAAGTTTTCCTGTTGTTGTATTATAAACTCTAAAAGAAAGTAGAAAAATTACTCTCTTACAATCAATGACAATTCATTTATATAGATTACATTACATTTGAAAATGAATGTCTTGAATGCAAGTTTAAGTTTATTTTTTTAAACGGAATCAGTGAGAGATAAATAAAATTCATGTGTACAATTATGAAACTTCAAAAGTGAAATTTGTAACTTATCATTGGGGTTTCCATGCGTGGTTCTGAAACCCATTACTGTCGCTAGTTGTTTTATCTAGAGCTTTAGATTCTCAATATACCGCGTATAAATTGAGCACTTGAACTCTAGAACCCTCCCAAGTCGTAGATGAAAAGACAGAAGATAAGTGAAAGGAATTGTTTTCCGAATAGTGTCAATTATGGTTCAAAACTGTCAGGTATTTATAATTTTTAGTAAAAAAAAAAAAAAAAAATCATCATTATAGTCCTCCAATTCGCATACAGGGGGTTATTAACATTTGTAAACGTCGTCAGGTTATTGATGTCAAGGACAGTAATGAATCAGTCTATCTATTCAGATGTACATACTGTAAAAATTGTCTCGAAATTATCAGGTCATAAGTGAAATACATAAAGTGTATTTCATTATCTTGCCAATTGAGTGTAACTAAATCCTAGTGTTTATGTTCACATTGAGAATCAACCCACATATTTATGATCCTACTGTAAACTATGATAAGAAACAAATACTTACAAATTCAATTCACACTTGTTGCACAAGTCAGTATCTATTTTGACTCAGTAGATCAATGGACAGCGCTTTAAGCGTTTAAAGTGAATAGTAGTGGTAATATCATCTTTCCTTTGCGACACTAATACATCTTTACAATAATTTCTATAAATTCACTACATTTTATTGAATTATTAACACTAAAGCGAGTTTACATTATGTTACCATTTAGATGCAACTCAAATAATCTCATGTTGAAACGGAGAATTAGATTAGCCATCAACAGGACATTTCATTAGCATTTGTAGTATTGTACAAAAACCTTCAAGGGAACATACTAAGGTTGATTGAGGCCTTGGCTGTACGGAAACTGAAAACCTTTCTATGTATTCAAAAACATTTTGTTCTAAATATCAGACGGGGTTTTGTGCATATTATAGTGATTTTAATAGTAGAGATCATGAGCCAATTGAAGCTGGACCACTATGGAAAACCTAGACTTACTGGACAGTCGTTTTGTCCTACTGTGGGATTCCTCATCAATGCGCATCCAAGATTCCACCTCGCCAGGACATATCGGTCCCGCTCATGGACACCTAACCTCTAGACCAGTGAGTCGGCATTGAACGGTGTTCATGCCTAACTTCAACCAATCCATGAAATTGCGACACCGTCCACCATTGTCATTAGGGAGTTATTATCTCACAACAGACCCAGTTGAATCCCACTTGTCACAGCTTCTCACTAGAACTCCAAGGAATACCTCTTGATTAAGCGCTCGCGCGCGAGACTGATAGGTCTCGGGTTTGAATCCCACGAGGTGAATTCGTGGATGCACACCTCCGAAGAGTCCCAAAATAGGACGAAACGGCCGTCCAGTACTTCCAGGTTTTCCATAGGGATGTAGCTTTAATTGACTCATGAATTCAACTATTAAATTAATGATAAAACTGTTCTGAATAGGATGACTGAATAGTGCTTTATTATTAAATGTTTCAGTTTAGAAGTTTAACAGTGTTTTATGCCTTAATATGTTAGTATATTAACTCTGTTTTATTTGATTGCTATACATTCATGCATTATTACTATGATTTTCAGTGATTACAAACTTAGTTTATTTGAAAATCTGTCAACTGGTAATTTTTCTGTTTAAACTGGATTCACTTACTCCAAAGTATTAGACCATTTCATTATTTGTATGTGTACATATTATGTATGTATATATGGATGACTCAGTTAGTAAGTGTATTCCATATATAAATGGAATCTCAACTGTTGACATTACTACAATCTCCACAAAACCCCTTCTGATATAAATATGAATTTGTATTTGTATGTTTATTATTTCTGATATAGAATATCATATTTCATCAATAATCATATACTACTCAGTCATTTGGGAACAAAGAAGGTGTTTTAATGAAGTTGCTATATTATACCAGATGTATAGACTTTCAGTTGGATTACATATATCTACAAAGAAATGTTTGTTATTTAACGCGAAATTACTTCACTTCATGTGATGATTTTAGTTAGACGAACTTCATAGACCAGAAAACAGTGAATAATTGTTTCTTGTCAAACAGTGTGTAGCGTCGGTTATTATTTTAAGCCCATGTACCTTATTCTAGGTTTCAGCAGGCCATTTGATTCATTTTACTTGAGTCACATTCTGACCTTGTCAATTATGCGCTTATCAATTCTTGACTGTTTTTATATGAGCCCGTAGGTGTGTGTACATTTCTTATCCCATTACTCATCACATATCTGTAACTTACTTTTGTGTAACTATAATTATTGATTAACGCTTGATTAAATGAGAGTTGGCTTACCAGCCATCTCCACTCTGCGTCGTTTTGCTTCGTTTTATTCCATTTGCTTTACATACAAAAATACGTGTACATTCTCGTTATTCGACTTATTCAATTCCGTTATTGACTAACGTGATTTAATTCGATAATTATATACGATGATAGGCGATGACATAACATTCATACGATCTAATTGGAGTCAGATCTCGACCCACTAAATTGGAGAATCCTTTCGACGACATCGTCCGATCTAAATGAGGACAAAATTATGGGCCCCACTAAAAGTGGACTCGTAAACCAATGATTAGTTGAAATTTAGGATACTCAGAACTCAAAGCCTGTCTAAAGTTTCCATTGATTAGCTGTAACTATCAATAATTCGATATGCTATTAATTATATCTATAATCAATAGACAAACTCACTTAATAAATGGATATCTATTCGTTTTAGCGCCTATATATTAATATGAAATGCATTTCTTTCATGATATAACACATTCAAGTCGATCTCAACCCATAAAATAACGATAAACATATTGAATTATTTGATCACTTACCTACAAATATATTGACCATCATCAGAAATTTTTCTAGGATTAACAATACTAAGTATTTGTGTATATTCATTCACATTACTAATAATATATTTAATTCCACCAGATGCTTTATTAACTGATTCAATATTAAGTGGTTCATTTGATGTGACACTACGATACCATAAAATTGACCATTGATATTGATTATTTAATTGATTAATATTTTGAGAACTTTCAATTAAAAGTAATGATGATAGATTACAATTCAAATGACCAGTTAAACCTTCAGCGGTATGCTCATAAATTGTTTGGATTTGTTCATCAGTTTCTAAAATAAATATGAATGGATAATAATACGTTAAACATTGTATATTGAAAAATCTATATGAGATTAGATGGTGGTTGAAGGTAGCCGACAGGAAACCCTGGGTTTCCTATAGAGATCGAATCCGCCAGGGAGCACCAATTCCCTCAAGGTTGCAGGTACACCTTGCTGACGAGTGTCAAGTAGCACGAAACCCGGGTCCAGGGTTTCCTGTCGACTATCTCCAACCACCATCTAATCTTAATATATAGTGCACGCAGTGTCGAGTCACCTAGACTGGCAGCCACATTGCAATATGATCGATAGCATTCGATCTGCACTAATAAGGACTAGACACGCATGACATTGATCGCCACTCAGTGATCAATCAATTGTGAAACATCTATATGGTACATAATTTATACGAATCCTTGTTATTTATATCAGAAGTGTGTTTTTTGGGTATTATAGTAATTTCAATTGTTGAGATCATGAGTCGATTGAAGATAGACAGGGTGGGTGAGCATATACCAAAATGGTTGCAAAATCAGATGAATTCCAATGGTGAAATAGGACCACAGGATAGACAGACATCATCATCCATTGCGAAACATTTGATTGAGACGGGTCATAAGGTTGATATCAAATCAGCATTTGTTGTGTTGTACAAAAGCCTTCAAGGACGTATACTAAGGTTTATTGAAGCCTTGGGTATACGAAAATTGAAACCCCCTTTATGTGTTCAAAAACAATTTGTACTTACACTTAACCTACCCTGGTAGTACTGATTTACTGTCCAGAGTGGTAATCACATTTGTTTTTGTGTACTTTAATATTTTCCTTTGTTATGACTTACCCTTAACCTGTCTAGTTGACCTTTAAATTTTTAATATATAAATGTTCTTAACAAGTATATGTGTGATCAGATTGTTCGAAATGTATTGCGCAAATATATCACATAATTCTGATAAACTACGTCTTCTCATTGCATTATCGAAATTGAAGATAGACCATCATAGAAAACCTGGAAGCATTGGACGACCGCTTCGTCCCCAGCAGTGTGCATCCACGATCCCGCCTCGTCAGATTCGAACACAGGAACTATTAGTCTAGTGCGCGAGCACTTAATCACTTGTTATTGATGGAATTGATGTACAATTTCACGATATATTTACAGTTTCAGTAAAATAGGATTGATAATATTCCTAGAATACAGTGAATTCATTACATTTCATTGCTATTTCTTCAACTACTTACTATTTCCTTTTTATAAGTAGTAATGAGAGTCAAATGAGACTACTGATAAATTATTCAACAAAAGATCTGTAATCAGTTAAATCAGTATGTGTTTTTGTTTATAACGTGTTCCTTATTTTCAGACCAAATTGATTTCTTGACAAATAGAAAAGCAAAGAATTTTTAGACTGTATTTTACCGCCAGAATAGTACTAAATCGATTAAATTAGTATTCACATTACAGTTTTTCCTTAATTGTAAGGTAAATACTTTTACTGATCCCTTAAGAATGTTTACTGTTGAAAGAATTTTTTTAGAAATCTTGCTACCGATACGCTTAAACTGTCTTTGTAGCCGATTTTGATATCCACAACTACTTCTACATGTCAAATGGAACACTAAAGACAAAGAGTGATATGCAAATAAAAGCTTTACTCTAGGTTTAGTTCATGTACAGAAAAAAAAGTAGGTGTTTATAGTACTACACCTAACCTTGGAAATCTAGATATTTCTGCAACCATACTAATATGGTAGCCCTATACATAAATATCCAGTTAAAACTGTGACACGTTATTCTGTATATTTTAGATGTTTCTGTAACTATTCTATTCAACGTTGATTGAATAAAATGTTTTCAAGCACTTCTGGGCCTCTAAGGATTTGATGAAGAATATGTGTAGGACTCATTCAAAAATTTGGTTAGGATTCGTTTATATATAATGTTAGTAAGCATCGTTTATAAATAGGTTTACAGAATAATTTACAACTATTCGTTAGTCAAATCATCATTATTATATCATTTCTAATGGATGAATAGTTAAGTCGAATTACTTAAGTTCACTAGTGTATTTTTGAAGAGTAGCCTGCAATTTTCAAACTATAAACTGACTTAATTAGTTTGATGTTTAAATGTTTATAGAATGCTCACTTGGATAATTAGGGAGCAACAAGAGTTCCTAATGGATCTTATTTCTATATTAAAACGTATCAATGTTTTTTATGTACGATTGATATTTAAGATGAATTAGAATCAGATAGGGGTTTTGTGGAGATGGTAGTTATTGAATGATTGAATTAATGAGCCAAATGAAGCTAAACTACCATGGTAAACCTGGAAGCACTGGACTGCCGCCTCGTCTTAGTATCATACTCCTCAGCAGTGCTCATCCACGATCCCGCCTCGCGAGGTCCAAACCCAGAACCTATTAGTCTCGCGCGCAAACGCTTAAGCTTTAAGTCACTGAACTGGCATCTAACGATATTAACGTCCACCATGGTTTTCCATACTGGTCTAGCGTCAATTGATCCAAGATCATAGCTTCTATTTGGCTTGATCTTGTATATATGTTATTTCTTATTTTGTGGTGTGATGAGGTCTGTTTGGCTGGTATATTAACCAGGTATGTTTGAAATAAATGATTCGAATTGTGGGAGCTATTATTGGCAGTCTGAACTGAACTGAACGGGCTAAGCGAACATAGGACCAATAAGGAGGCTAAGCTGCTCCAACCGGTCGAACATCATTGGTTTGGCACAGTACTAAGATTGAATGAGTAGTATTTGGGCTTAAAACACACAACAGTTATTCAACTGAGATGAGATGTCAATCGTTCACAAATCGTTAACAATGTAGGAATATCATTCATTTTTTCATCTTAAATAAATTAATCTTGATTTCGTAATCTATCGCAGTTGAAGATACTTTATTGGAATAAAAAGTAACGCATTGGCGATAATCAAACTCTAAACGCTACACTTAGCCTATTTTTACTAATTACTTAACACAGATTGATTTCATTGACTATGACCTTGTCATTAATGGATAATGAAGGTATCTTCATTATCGTATTACTAATTATTTACAATAAGATAAATGTTGAAAATGTTGATAACGTTTGGTCATTCATTAATTGATAATCTGTAATATGGGTAAAGGATACAGTATGTGAACATTGAAACTATATATATATATATATATATATATATATATATATATATATATATATATATATATATATATATATATATATATATATATATATATATAAAGAGATATGAAACAACTGTTATAACATTGTGTTTCGTATAATATATGCTACTTAACATGATATAACAATTATATCAAGTTGAGTAGTATATGTGTATGCATATAAATGTGTATAAGTAGTATAAATATATCTGCAAAAGAAAAAAAAAGTGAACATTAAATTTGGCTAATCATTACCATTATGAACAAACTTTTCATCGTTTAATTGAATATAGAATTTACAGTTGACGGATTCTCTATCATATTCATTTTCATTAGGATTATCATCAATCCTATTGGTATACTGAGTACTTTTCATATACTGATAGATACCAGTATCTGATTTTGCAATTTTTAATATTTTCAATAATCCATCTAATCACAAAAAGAATCATAATAATAAGAATATAAACAACCCGCCAACAACTGCAAAGATTATCAATAAATTGAGAAAATTAGGTCTATTTTTATGACATTATTATGTAGACTAATCTATTGCTTACTTACGTACGCTTGTTACTCCTTGTGGTGAAGCATAGGCCGCTCAACAGTACTCTCCATTAAACCCTATACTGGGAAATCCTTTACAATTCTTTCCACTTCTTATTCATCGTTTTCATATCTGCTTCTTTTGACCGATGTAATGTGTTCCTTGGCATTCCGATTTTTCGCTACCCTTCATAATTCCAGTTAGCACTTGCCTCGTGATGCAGTTTGATAATTTGTGTATGTCCTATCCATTTCCATCGTCGTTTTCTAATTTCTTATTCATCTGGAAGCTGGTTTGTTCTCTCCCACATTAGGCTGTTACTGATGATATCCGGCTAACGGATAGTGAGTATCATGCGTAGACAACTATTTATAAATAATTGTACATTCTTGATGGTGGTTGTAGTAGTTCTGCACATTTCAGCTCCGTACACTAGAACTGACTATCTTGACGTTTGTATTGAGGATTCTGACTTTGATACTGGTTGGCAATTGTTTTGAGTTGCATATGTTCTTCAATTGTAGGAATACGGTCATTGCTTTGCAGATCCTCGCCTTGACGTCTGCATCTGAACCTCTTTGTCCATCGATGATACTTCCCGGGTATGCGAAGGATTCTACATCTTTTCAATAATCGATAAGCACCTTTTAATTAGATGAATTCACAAACAGAAATTTTTTAACATCATAGAGGGTCTGTAGAGATCCCTGATATTTATTGATTGAACGATGGGTTGATTTTGCTAGGCAACTACTGTAAATTAGGAATCGATTAGTAGCTGTTTCGTCTTAGTATGAAACTCCTTAGTATTAACCATTAATGGTCCAATCAGAAGTCGAAATTAGAACCTTTCAAATTCAAAGCGAGATCCTAAGCTTTAGACCACTAATCTGGCATTAATCGGTATCGGGTTTTTACCTTTAGTCAATTCACATTATAGTGCACCTTTCTCCTAATGTCACTGTAAAGTAAGTGCCTTACACCTTACATGGCTATACTCAATTGGTCAGACCTTTTTTATTAAAGGTTCAGGAACCACTTGTTGAAGTAAGTCATCAATGAGCACATGATTATGGTCACTTTACGGCGTTATTTATTTTATTCAAACACATAAACATGCGGATACATTTATTTCTTAAACATTAACTGGATATATATATATAGTTGACTAAAGATTAATTGAAATTTGTTCTTTTCGATAGGGTTTTGTTCTCTGAGCTGGATGATTTGGTGATGGAGCTTTCATCGTTCTTCTGAAGGACATCATCAGCATAACTATCAGGTAGAAGTAAAGTGTTCGGATTTCTCCATATGTGGTTAACAGCTTGTCTTGTAGACCTCGATGTTGATTGATTGTTGTTGACCTTAAACCCGTCATTGTTTACTTCTTCGTTTTGACTGTATCTTCTGTTTGTTTCTTCCTATGTTTGTTCATAATTTTCCAATATTCACCTCAGAGAAAAAAAACTCCATCAAAATCATCCACTTGGGCTACAAATCTTCTCAATCATCTCAGTTTTTGCTTTCGTCTACATCACTGGAAAAGTTAATAAACTATATCACTTTAGATTAATATATCAAATAGATCTATATTTCACTTCTTAAAATGGCTTAAACATTAATCTATGACAGAACATCTATTGCTAGTTCTTCAAAATGAAAATATATATCACTTTCGTTGACTAATATCTGTTAAATTCTATTATGAATATAACTTACAATGTTATGTAATGGTTTGTCATCAAGTCGTAAATAATCTCATTTCTCATTAACAGTAATAATTGAATTCTAATTGGATTAGATAATTGATTTGTAACTGAATAAAATTCAGTGTTAGTTGATTCTCCTAAGACCTTAATCCATAAATCATTTGTATAACAACTAAATTTCTTATTTTAGTTAATCGTCAACAGAAATGAATATCAATGGTTAAGATCATGAGTCAGTTGAAGCTAGACCACCATGGAAAACCTCGAAGCACTGGACGGTCGTTTCGTCCCATTGTGGGACTCCTCAACAGTGCACATCCACGACCTCGCCACCTGCGAGATTCAAACCCAGGGCCTGATGGTTTCGGGCGCAAACACTCAACTACTAGACCATTGAGACGGCATCCAACGGTGTTAATGTCTAACTTCCACGGTCGTCCAGTGCATAAGGGTTTTCCATGGTGGTTTAGCTTCAACTGACACATGATCTTAACCATTGAAATTATTATAATATCCACAAAACCCATTTGATAGAAATGAATATGTGAGAAATATCATTCACCTTATTGAAAGTGAAGTTGTCATATGATAAGCTAATTCAAGAATATATATATATCAGGATTATATATAACGAGAATCTTTAGTCATTATGCTTGAAAATTCATCAAAGAATAACGTACCTTCAAAATGATAATTATTATTTTTGATCTCATTCATTGTAATAAATTGACCATTATGAATCCATTGATTAATATATGGTGAATAGTTGAATTTCTTGTTGTTATATCGTTTTTCCATATGATCGTTTGAATTATTAACACGTTTATTAAAATCCCATTTATTCCATTCATCAAGTGTTGGTGACATTGGAAATGGTATTTTATACTTATTCATTATATTATTGTTTTGTAATGTATTATTATTATTATTATTATTACAATTTAAAGTAACTTGTTTTCCACTTTCAGTAATAATCACTTTTGGATTTAATGAACTGGTGGTTATCGGTGATCCTTAAAATAAAGCAATAATAATAATAATAGTAATTATAGTAATAATACATTGAAATAATTCTGATGAAGTTTTGTTCTCTGACAGTTCTATTGTACACAGATGAAACTTAGAGAACTACTACAATTATCATCAAGAATGTACAACTATTTATAAATAGTTGTCTACGCATGAGACTCAAATCACTAAACTGCATCACGAGGCAAGTGATAACTTGGAATCGTGAAGGGTAGCGAAAAGTCGGAATGCCAAAGAACACATTACATCGGGCAAAAAAAGCAGATATGAAAAAGATGAATAAGAAGTGGAAATAACTGTAAAGGATTTCCCAGGACAGGGTTGAGTGGAGAGTACTGGTGAGAGGCCCATACTCCTTCACGAGGAGTAACAGGCGTAAGTAAGTATGTTTGTTCCCTGAGGTAAAAGTTTGTGCTGGTTATGTCGTTCAGATGAACTATGAAAGCTCTACGATCAAGTGATCGAGCTCACAGAACAAAACTTCATCAAAATCATCTACCTGAGCTATAAATCTTCTCCAATATTAAAATAATACTTACATTTTAATAAAAATGATTAATATAACAGATGTATTCATCACTGGAGTAATAGTTTTTTGAGATTCTTGTTCATTTACGGAGAGAGAAAACATTAAAAATGACCTTTCAATCAGTGAACAGATACATTTTGAGACTGCTAGTAAATTACATGGTAAACTATTGAACAGTGTTATTTATTAAATTCACCTAATGTTGTTTACGACTGTAATTGATCAGTATCCTGGTAGCATATGTGCATACTGTGCATATTATCTTAATTCCTAAGCATTCTAAGTAAAGATGAATAATGGTTAACAGTGGAACTCAAGATGCGTGTTTCGTGCAACACTGCGTTCTAGTCTTGTACTAGACATCAATTCTGAGATGCAGGTACATCCAGCTGACAAGTCTCAAATAGGACGAAACGCGCCTTCCTGATTCCACTGTTAGCCACTATTCATCTTTGTTTATAATTTTAGCTTTTAACTGAATAACACCTTTGAATCTCTGATAATAATGTTTAACTAGTTAAACATTTGTTAAAAACCTAAAATATTTATTGTAACTAATGTATGGGAACCAAAGGTGTGATGACATTTTAAAATGTTGTAGTATAAATGAACAAACATAATTTGGAAATACATCATTTAATTTATGTGAAACTAATTTATATAAATGGCCTATGCTTCTTCACGAGGAGTAACAGGCGTAAGTAAGTAAGTAAGTAAGTAAGTAAGTAAGTAAGTAAGTAAGTAAGTAAGTAAGTAAGTAAGTAAGTAAGTAAGTAAGTAAGTAAGTAAGTAAGTAAGTAAGTAAGTAAGTAAGTAAGTAAGTAAGTAAGTAAGTAAGTAAGTAAGTAAGTAAGTAAGTAAGTAAGTAAGTAAGTAAGTAAGTAAGTAAGTAAGTAAGTAAGTAAGTAAGTAAGTAAGTAAGTAAGTAAGTAAGTAAGTAAGTAAGTAAGTAAGTAAGTAAGTAAGTAAGTAAGTAAGTAAGTAAGTAAGTAAGTAAGTAAGTAAGTAAGTAAGTAAGTAAGTAAGTAAGTAAGTAAGTAAGTAAGTAAGTAAGTAAGTAAGTAAGTAAGTAAGTAAGTAAGTAAGTAAGTAAGTAAGTAAGTAAGTAAGTAAGTAAGTAAGTAAGTAAGTAAGTAAGTAAGTAAGTAAGTAAGTAAGTAAGTAAGTAAGTAAGTAAGTAAGTAAGTAAGTAAGTAAGTAAGTAAGTAAGTAAGTAAGTAAGTAAGTAAGTAAGTAAGTAAGTAAGTAAGTAAGTAAGTAAGTAAGTAAGTAAGTAAGTAAGTAAGTAAGTAAGTAAGTAAGTAAGTAAGTAAGTAAGTAAGTAAGTAAGTAAGTAAGTAAGTAAGTAAGTAAGTAAGTAAGTAAGTAAGTAAGTAAGTAAGTAAGTAAGTAAGTAAGTAAGTAAGTAAGTAAGTAAGTAAGTAAGTAAGTAAGTAAGTAAGTAAGTAAGTAAGTAAGTAAGTAAGTAAGTAAGTAAGTAAGTAAGTAAGTAAGTAAGTAAGTAAGTAAGTAAGTAAGTAAGTAAGTAAGTAAGTAAGTAAGTAAGTAAGTAAGTAAGTAAGTAAGTAAGTAAGTAAGTAAGTAAGTAAGTAAGTAAGTAAGTAAGTAAGTAAGTAAGTAAGTAAGTAAGTAAGTAAGTAAGTAAGTAAGTAAGTAAGTAAGTAAGTAAGTAAGTAAGTAAGTAAGTAAGTAAGTAAGTAAGTAAGTAAGTAAGTAAGTAAGTAAGTAAGTAAGTAAGTAAGTAAGTAAGTAAGTAAGTAAGTAAGTAAGTAAGTAAGTAAGTAAGTAAGTAAGTAAGTAAGTAAGTAAGTAAGTAAGTAAGTAAGTAAGTAAGTAAGTAAGTAAGTAAGTAAGTAAGTAAGTAAGTAAGTAAGTAAGTAAGTAAGTAAGTAAGTAAGTAAGTAAGTAAGTAAGTAAGTAAGTAAGTAAGTAAGTAAGTAAGTAGGTAAGTAAGTAAGTAAGTAAGTAAGTAAGTAAGTAAGTAAGTAAGTAAGTAAGTAAGTAAGTAAGTAAGTAAGTAAGTAAGTAAGTAAGTAAGTAAGTAAGTAAGTAAGTAAGTAAGTAAGTAAGTAAGTAAGTAAGTAAGTAAGTAAGTAAGTAAGTAATTTATATAAAATTTAGTAACACTAACAGATCTATTCAAAACAATTAGCACTATGTCAATATTTAGGATGATTTAAGACTGAAGCAAGTTATATAATACCATATATATTCAATGTAAATTAGTAAACATTGAATACTAACAAACACACTTAATAGTAGTATTTTATCATGTCCTTTATTAGTTTTATCAAAGAAGAATGAAAAATAAAGCTGTTCAAAATTTTCTTGGATTTCAATGGTTGTCTAGTTAGAGTAAATCTCTTGTGTCAAATTTGTTATTGCTTTCAGATTTGATTGGAAACATATAAATATCTAACTTCAAGACGGATACTTCTTTTGAATTATAAGATAGAAACTTAAGATTATTTGTAAAATAGGATTTTTGTTGGTATTTATGAATACAGAAATAATGGTTTTCAGGATATCTAAATGAATCAGGATGTAAACTAAAGAGAAATGTTTGATTGAGAACAAGGAATGATATAAATAAACTCTGGATAAAAGTGATATGTGTATTATAAGCAAAGATGGATAGTGGTTAGCAGTGGAATCTAGGACGCTCAATTCGTTCTATTTGGTACTTATCAGCTGGATGTACCTGCATCCTGTGGTTGGTGTTTACTCCAGGATTTGAACTTAATACCGTTTGCTTCAAATACCATCTCATTATTCACTTAGCTACTGAGTCCACACCGGATGGATATATGTCATTAAGCGACTTATCAATTGCAGTCCTAAGCATTAATAGGAAGATTCAAACTAATAATACAATATATGCATGTATAATTCATCTAATGCCAAACAAAAAACTACATAACGCATGAAATGGTATTTATAAATACAGAATAATGTATATTGTGTAAGCTCAAAATAAACAGATAAGTACACTTGAATTGTATCACAAAATACTGATATGTGTACATCAACCGAATTTTTTAATTTGACATTTAAGGAAATTATAACCTATGTGATCTTAAAGTCATCCTAGATTAGAAAAGAAGCGGGATATGTCATTTTGGAATAGAAGACTTCAGTCAATTCCAATCCAAATAGTAACTGCTTCTACTATTTGAAATACTGTAGGTCACGTCGCTTTTTACAAGCTGATTTTATGGCTAGTTTGGACTTCATTACTTGCGCCTGTTACTCCCAATGGAGCATAGGCCGCTGAACAGCACTCTCCAACCTACTCTGCTCTTGGACTTCCCTTCCACTTCTATCCAATTGTTGTTCATTTTTCTCATGTCTGTCTCCATTTCTCGACGTAGTATGTAACTTCGTCTTTCTATTCTCCTTTGGCCTTAAGGATTCCATGCGAGTGCTTGCCTTGTGACGCAGTTGAGTGTTTTCCTCAATGTGTGTCCTATCCACTTCCAGCTCTTCTTCCTGATTTCTTCCTCCACTGGGATCTGGTTTGTTCTCGCCCATAGTAGGTTGTTGCTGATAGTGTCAGGCCAACGGATCCGAAGAGTAATTCACTTGACATTGTTTTACTTGAATCTTCCCATTGATGTGTTTAGGACTGAAATTGATCAGTCTTTTATTGGCATATGTATATACTGTGCGTAAGCCTCGATATTGCCTTAATTTACAAGCATTATAAGCAAAGATGGATAGTGTCTAGAAGTGGAGTCCAGGACGCGCGTTTCGTCTTGTTCGGGTCTCGTCAGCTGGATGTACCTGCATCTCAGAGTTGATGTTCACTCTGGGATTAAGTGGATAATGCGATGGCGTTTGAAGAGAACGGTACTGAGTTCGAGTCCTGTACTCCACTGCTAGCAACTATCCATCTTTGCTTATAAGGATCCGAAGTATGTTGCGTAGACAGCTGTTAATAAACAATTGTATCTTCTGGATGATGGCTTTCGTAGTTCTCCACGTTTCCGCCCCATACAGTAGAACTCTGTTGACATTTGTATTGAAAATTTTAACTTTTGCTGTTGGTTGACAGATATTCTTTGATTGTAGGTATGCTTCTCTTGCTATACCGATCTGCGCCTTCACATCTGCATCAGATGCAGCGTGCTAATCAATGATGCTCTCCAGATAAGTAAAGGTTTCTGCATCCTCCAAAGCTTCTTCGTGAAGTGTGATTTGATTGGTACATGCTGCGTTGTATCGGAAAATCTTGCTTTACCGTTTGTGTATGTTGAGACCTACTACTTCTGAGGCTGTTGCTACACTAGTCTTCTTCTTCTGCATTTATTATTGCGCGTGAGATAGAAGAGCCAAATCATCTGCAAAGACTAGATCATCTAGTTCAAACTAGTTAAGCTAAATTAAAACCATTCAGATTTTAATTGCACACTATTATTTTAAATGATGGGAAATGATTTTAAATAGATCTTGATATTCATTATATGTTTGTTTGTGTGTGTGTAAGTATTGTAGTGAACAAAACACCAGTGGGAACAATAGAATGTATTTGACACCAAATTACAGAGCATCTCAATAAAATCTGAGATCCATATAGTAAAAACCGTTAATTTGCAAAATGTCAATCCATCCTATCAAACTTGACTGTTCCTGTTGCAAACATCAATCTAGTGTCTCAGATTTCATTGTTCATGCATTTTCATACGAATTGTGTTCCGTTCCCGTTCTTTCCCCATCTATCTTCTACTGAAATACATTCTATGCCTGACCACTGTTATGTACTACTTATGTGGATATAAGTAAGCCATACTACAGTATGTGTCAAACAAAACTAGATTCAAAAGATTTATTTATAAATAATCTAATTTTTTTAAATGTATTATTTAATTACATTTTTGTTATCACTTTAGATAGTATAATGTTCATTAAATGTGGGAATTACAATTTTCGAAACATTTCCTCTCTTTATATTGTTGGTGGTCTAAATGAATCAAAACATTATACATAGTGTCATATGTTATCCTATAAGTTATTATTTGAAATCAGTAATAGGAATGAGATTTATCAACAACTGTCTTTAGTAACCATGTATTTTGTAGTGTAATCATGACAAATGATTATCTTTACTATTCATTAGATCTTTCAGTTCAATTAACTTTATTCACTTAAAATAGTTACAAATTGAATAATTAGATTACATTTTAATTTTAGTTACCATGAATGATAATTATCACTAATTCAGGTCATAAATCGATTGATGTCAGACCACTATTGGAAACCTAGAAGCACTAGACGGCTATTTTGTCCTGTTGTGGGACTCCTCAGCAGTAAGCATCCACGGTCCCGTTCGCGGGATTCGAAACCATGGTTTTCGGTCACGCACACAAACCCTTAACATCTAAACCAGTGACCGGCATTCAAAGGTATAAATGTCTAACTTCAAATAATTCACGAAATCGCGCAATCATCTCCTATTGTATTCAGTTAGATACTTGTCTCTACCCAACACCGATTAGCTCCAACGATCACGCTGATGTCAGATTTCGTGGTGGAAAATCTTATAATCATCACTTGTAGTGATTATACTAGTTCGAATGAATTTTCAAAGTTGGTGTTCATTTTTCCCACCCATTATTCAACTGTAATGCAGTTAAATGTTCAATAGAATTCAATGAGTACAACTATTCCGAAACTTTATATATCACTACAGATTAATATTATTATTACTTTCATCAATGAATATCAACTGAATAAAACATCTCTTAGTATACTCTTCCCACCATTCAGCATAGTGATATTTGTTCATTAATTGTTCAAATATGAAGTTAACAGAATGTTATGACTTATTTAAGTTGGTTGGATTTCTGATGGTAACCTTTAGAAGATACGTATCATTAGCACCGTTTTAGTTGATCATTTGAAATAAAGTAAATATTGTGTAGGTGTTTAATAATAATAACAATAATAATATTATTAATAATCTATTTATAGCATCTCAATAGGTATAAAATTAAACTTTTGTTACTTTTCGTAATGCAGTTTCATGATTCCCATCCGTTTACATCGTCTTTGTGTGACTTCCTCTACAAATCCAAAGTGGTTAGTTCTCTCCCACAGTACGCTGTTGTTGATAGTATTCGTCCAACTGACACTAAGTACCTTAAGCAGACAATTGTTTATAAATACTTGTACGATTTTAACGATGGTTGTAGTAGTTCTCGAAGTTTCAGCTCCGTACAGTAGAACTGTTTTGACGTTCGTATTAAAGATTTATACTTTATATACATATAACTTATAACAAGAGGGGAACTAAAACGTTGCTAAATTTATGCGATAACAGCATTTCCTGCGGAAACATTTGTCAGTTTTATAATATCTACGCAAAGTTTTCAAAGAAAGAATTGACCTACACAATCATTCATTGTTTAATAATTATCGTATATATTATTACACCAAAGTGTGTTTTTCGAGATATGATGATCATATGATTATTATTTACTACTACATATAGATATTCAATGAAATTGTGGTGCGTGCTACTTATATTGATGTTAGTAGTATATGACGCGAGTTAAAACTTAATGTCTGGCAGCAGAATATGGGAGAAGATCAAGAAAGGGAGAGCGGAAACACAATGCAATTCGTAAGAAAACGCATGAACAATGAAATTTGAGACAATGAACTGATGTTTACAACAGGAACAGTCCAACTTGATATGATTTATTGATATTTTGCAAATTAACGATTTACTATATGGTTTTTCTATTTTACCAAGTAACGCTGTAATTTTTGTGTTGAATGCAATCTGGTCGTCCTTACATTTTTGCTACTTCACTACAAAATCATCTGAACGTTTTTTTACGTATTCGAATGTCAATCAACTTACTGTAAGATTAGATTTTATTATAGTATCAGTTATCAAATCATATAAGCTTAAAGTAAGTAAATAGTAGAGTTTACGTGGGAAGATTGAATGTTGACTTACTTTTTACTATAATACGAAAAGATTTTCCAATAAGCTTCGAATGAGAATTATCCACTGAACAAGTGTAAATACCTTGATTTTCCAGTCTAGCGTATTTAATGATTAATACACCTAAAATAAGATAAAAAAAAACGGAGATGGTTTGTATAATTTTCTGAAAATGCAACGGGCAGTAATTATATTGTACTCAATCAGGCGTTATATCCTATTTAGAACGCTGCCAAAGTTATACACAACTGAAGTTAGATAAGTTTGCATCAGCAAAGTAAGAAAGGGAAGTAAAGAACTACAAAGTTTACTAGTTACATTGGTAGTTAAAAATTAACTATGGTGAATAGAGTTTGACAAAATAGAGAAATCAACGTACAAATTACATACAATACAAGGCTGAAAGTGCTGAAAAAGGATAAAAAAAAACTTGAATGAGATAGTTGTTAGGCTATTTCATTTAATATTATCAAACATAGGTAAAGAAAAATAAACGAGCTGATACATCCGGAACTTAAAATTCCCATCTCTCCATATTGGCTCAATATAACAATCGTTCACTTCATAAACTGATGCTGAATATTGACTACGCTAAGGTGAATCTTCATTCAGACAACCCATGTATTTTTCCATCTACCATAAGTTGAGGAACGGGTAGTTATTTTTACTTTTCTCACCTGCTTCAGCAGTAAAATGTGATGACCATATTAACAAATTTATTGGGCTATGCAATACCCTTACGTTTTTGCATATTGTAAATCAAAAATTCCTATCAATTATGATTCATATGAAATTAAATCATAAAAAAGTTGATTTCAGTAAATTCACGGTGTTCCACGGCTATCATCCATTTGCATTTTCTTGTCGATTGTCTACTGCAAACTATTAATTTTAAGTGTTTGCTTTATACCGATCACATTTTCTTAGTCACATATGAACGCCTATATGCACTGAACTTTGGTTATGAGGACTTAATCAGACTTTAGGAGGATCAGAAGAATAAAACTTTCAATTGATCATGGTTGTTTATCTGACAATTATGAGAGTATAAAAAAACTTTTTCAAGTTATAATTATTCTGACTTAAACGTTCAACAGGTGTTTACGAGTAGATTTCTTCATGAACAGACATTAACTACATTCCGTTGACCAAGATATACCTTTTTCATTAAAAAACCTGATGGCTCTGGATCAAGTAGTCACCGGTATACACTACTGATGAGTTCATAATTATCCAATTTACCCATTTCAACTTTTGTTGTTTTCTAGTTTCTCACCTAACCCAAACGAGACTTCACAAGTATCTTACTTCCAGAATCATTCCTTAGGTTCTTATTTGTAGTAGTGACTGGTGGAGTTTATATATATCGGTAGTGAGACAACTATCATAAATAGGTTTAAATTATAGTCTTTTAATATTATTAATTGTACGAAGCAAAACATTTGGTACTAAATCAGTAATATGCAGATTTCAGCTTCCCTACCTTCCATCTCTCAAACCGGTGTTGTGATCGGTCCATAAGAGTGCTGTAGATTTACACCACTGAAGAATGTCATGCTCTTTGATTCTGAATAGTATTACAACCAATTTCAACCTATAAATGATATGATCTATTGACACCTTATTCATAATACAAAAAAACTGCCTATACAAGTCAATAATCTAACTACTTATCAGTATATTGCTCGTAATCTAATACCCTATTTTTTGCCTGGAAATAATTTTGAAGTTAGACATTAATAACGTTGGATGCCGGCCCAGTGGTCTAGATGGTTAAGTGCCTGACGCGAGACTAGTAGGTCCTGAGTTCGAATCCGACGAGACGGGGTCGTGGATGCGCACTGCTGAGGAGTCCTACGACAGGACGAAACGGCTGTCCAGTTCTTCGAGGTTTTCCATGGTGATGTAGCTTCAATTGACTCATGATCTCAACTGCTGAAAATAATTTTCTCTTTTTTTTTCATTAATGACGTCAATAACACAATAATGGAATGTAATTAAATTATGGTAGATACATAACTCTAAATCTATTTATTTATTTTTTTTTGGTGTGAATATTTCAATCATGCCAATGTCTATTTACAATGACGTAACTCTTGCATACATACTGTAATGTTTATTTTCATTTGTCTAAATAACTTGATATAATTTATTGGCTGTTGTTATGTATATTTTACTGGATATTTAAGTGAACAATTTATGAATACTATCTTATCAAGAATATCGTCGAGTTCATTGACAAGTGTACATAGAGAAATGAGGCGATTTGTTTAAAAATGATAATCTAGCATCTTTCATATACATAGTTCTCTTTTATCATTTTTTAAAGAGAAAGAATAAATATTCTAGTACAATAACGTGAATTTATTTTATTTCGTTTGGTTCTTATCAACTGATTACAACCTGTGTGATATGCTTGAATGCTATTACGAGTTCACCTTACTTGGTAAAGGGAAGAAAAGTCATAGATACAGTGACATGATAGGCTATTCTAATCACTTGTTCCCAGACCTGTTAGCTAGATCAAGAAGTCTTGATGAGGCTTAGAGAATGTATTCGACAAGCACCCATAAAATACGAGATCACTAAGCACACAAATCAAGCTTATTTACTCAAAAAAATCCGTCAACCAATGACAGTCAAAGATTTCTGAGTGGAAAATGTAAGCTATAGGTCAACTAAGCGTCTATTGGCTTGAAAACATAAAATTCAAGATTTCAGAATAAAATTACAAAATTACGACCTTTTCCAAGTTAGTTCTGAGGATCTAACATCCTCAACACTGTGATATTTAAAATGATAATTACATAATGGGTTTAAATTATTTCCATGAAAGTGTTTAGTCGGAAGTTATATTGAAGATATATTCGTATAGTATGACAAGGATGTAAATAAATTGAATAGATTGAATATTGTAAATACATACCTTATGTGAAAGAACATTCTACAACATTAGTTGTGACAACAGTTCGAAGGGCTAGAAACAAGTGATTACATAATGAGTAAACATTGATAGGAATAAAATGAATAGAGCTTGTTTGATAAAATAAGACATCTAATATGGAAGATAGTTGAATTAAAACTCATTAATGTAATAAATGCAAGAAAGAGTTTAATGAAAAAAAAAGTTTAGTTTGCTAAAGTCTGGTATCTAACCGGCTTTCATTTATGTTTCGTTTAAGTTTTAAATGACCTAATGTTTCATTGTCAGTTTGATTATACTTCTAGAACATCATACTCATTTCATTTTATTTTTTAACACTAATTTAGGTCATATTCATCATATATTGATCTCATTTAAGGCATCATTGAAGATTAAAATACTCGAGGTAGTTATTTCTTCTTAGTACATGACTCTATAGTGATGTAAATGAGCTATTAAATCAGTAATTGAATTCAGGACCTTGAGGTCTCATGAAGAAACTTCAATCATTTTAACTACTGGGTTGGTTTTCAATGATGAAATTTCATTCAATTTACGATATATCACGGTAATTATCTATTTGATTACTGACAAACATTTTGTTCCATAGAAGTGTAAACTATGCAATTCATTCCATTGTCGATAACTATTTACCGTATTTAGTTGCGTGTGAAACTGTTTCATAATAAGAAACAATTTTGAAGTATTAACACTGAGAATATGAGTTGACTAAACTTTCTATACTCAAGTGTTTGTACTTTTCAGTGGAGTGGACTAAAACGTGAGTAGTAATTTTCGTTCTGCTACTTTTAAATATCTTACAATTCAGTTTTTAATCCCACTTACTTTTGTAACTTAAAACCATTGTTAATGCGACATACAATCCAGTTCAGTAATCTCATAAAGCAATCATTATAACACTGGTTTGGTTACATTGGATTAATTGAGGTGTAAATATTTAAAATAATAGTGAACATGGAGTATAAAGTTCATTATAAGATAATGGATAAAATGTGTTCATCATTGGGAATCGTTTAGCTACTGGCATGTATTATAAAAGTAGGGAAAGAAGATTGAACTTCGCATGTGAGCTTATATGGATATAGACAAAAATAATTATATGAGTAAATATTACAGTATTTACAATGTTTTGCAATGTGATTAATGGAAATACATGTAAATCACCTATGGTTAATAAATCACAAGGTACATGATAATACTGTGGTGTAGAAGGTCAGAATGAAATTGATTATCGCGACAAATCTAGTAAATTGTGGCTGAATAGTGAATTCTTCACCTGTAGCACTAAGTGACTTAAAAATTATTGAGACTAACAGTTTCCATGTTATATCAAATATGCAAGCGTATTTGGTACCAACTAACTAGAGATTAAGACATAGTCAATTATAGTGAGCTCTTCGAATAAATTAAATTTAATTATGGATAATACATTCTGGAGCCCATGTGCACTGTTGGTTTGGAATCAGAGATTTACAACTTATTTAAGTGAATACTCTATATCCACCAACCCGGTTGAGGCGTCGGATATTGGCTTTCCATACTCTCAATTTTGCAAACAACACCTCTGCTACGAGATGGCAGTGAGCAAGACTTCCTTGGTAGTTGTTGTATGCACGTGGCCATGTGATAGTATTTCTAGATGGAGAGTCAATTCTCCACACTCTCGGCCGTACCAGGGTATTTGGTGGCTGGTTTATGTAATAAATTACAACCAGTGGAATTCATTGTTCTTAAAATGATCCCATCATATGGAAATCAAAACAACTTTCAACCAATATTAAAGTCACAATCTTCAATACGAACGTCAAGGCAGTTCTATTGTACGGAGCTGAAACTTGGAGAACTACTATAACCATCATCAAGAATGTACTACTATAACCATCATCAAGAATGTATTTATAAATAGTTATCTACGCATGAAACTCAATGTCCATTGTCCAGATACCATCAACAACCGCCTTCTCTGGGAGAGAACAAACCAGCTTCCAGATGAATAGGAAATTAGAAAACGACGATGGAAATGGATAGGACATACATTACGCAAATCGTCAAACTGCATCACGAGGCAAGCCCTAACATGGAATCCTGAAGGGAAGTGGAAAAGAGGAAGGTCAAACAACACATTACGCCGGGAAATAGAAGCAGATATGAAAAAGACAAATAACAACTGGAAGGAGCTGGAAAGGATTGCCCAGGACAGGATTGGATAGAGAATGCTGGTGAGTGGCCTATGCTCCTTCACGAGTGGTAACAGGCGTAAGTAACCACACCATACATTAAAAAACAAAAAAAACGTAATAACAATCAATAGATTTACCAAATTTTTGATTAATTTCAATATTTTCCATAAATCCATCATAATACCAACGTGTTGAAACAACTGGGGCACTTTCAAATATGCAAAATAATGTTAAATTTGTATTTTCATTAATGTTGATTTCTTTAATTGTATTCAATGGATTATTATTATTATTATCATTATGAATAGTTAGAGTATTTGAATTGATTTCATTATTTGTATTATATAAATAAGATAGATCAGGATCATCTGATGAAAATTTTAAATGGGTCCAAATTTTTTCATTTGGTTCTTTGAAAATTTGAAAGGAAAAAGAAAAAAGAAAAAAAAGAAAATTGAATGACAAAAATATCGATTGCTGGCTCAGTGGTCTAGTGGTTAAGTGCTCACCCGCGAAACCTGTAGGTCCTGAGTTCGAAATTCGCAGGGGGTGAGGTCATGGATGCGCACTGCTGAGGAGTCCCACAATAGGACGAAACGGTCGTCCAGCGCTTCCATGTTTTCCATGGTGGTCTAGCTTCAACTGACTCATGATCTTAACCATTGAAAAAATTTTTTGTTTTTTTTTTTTGAAATTTTATGATGATAAATAGATATCAATTGAAGTTGTTCGTTTAATGTATAGTATGCCAATAAGAGACTGATCAATTGTAGTCGTAAAGAACAATGGGAAGTTTCAAGTAAACAACACTAAGTGAATTTAAACTTAAGTCCTCATTTCTTAAGGAAGCAGATATCAGGGTACAGTAGCTAAATGGACAACGCAATGGCATTTGAAGTTAACGGTATTGGGTTGGAGTCTCAAAGTGAACATTAACTCTGAGATGCAGGTACATTCAGAAAACCAGTCCCAAATTGGACGAAACGCGCGTCCTGGATTTCACAGCTAGACACTATTTATCTTTGCTTAGAATGCTTGTGATTTGAGACAATATCAAGGCAATCCGTACAGTATTCACATATGCCAATAGGAAACTGATCAATTGTAGTCCCGAACATCAATGGGAATATTCAAGTAAACAAAACCAAGTGAATTTAAACTTCACCACATTGTACAAGCAAGTGGATATCAGGACTCAGTAAGTAAGTGGAAAATGCGATGGCGTTTGAAGTGAGTGAACATTAACTGTGAGATGCAGTTACATTCAACTGATGAGTCTTAAATAGGATGAAACGCGCATCTTGGATTTCACTGCTACCCACTATCTATCATTTCTGATTTTTTGTTCCGAAACAGTAATAAAAAAGAGAAAAGTATATTGATTTAATCAACCAAAATAATTGAAATGAGATAACCGAAAAATATAAATGTTATTTTAGTATTAATTTGTACTTTCAAAACAAATATAACTAGTTTGTATTTATCTTCCCATGGATGTTTACAACTGAGATTGATCAGTCTCTTGTTGACATATGTGCATTCTATGCGGACTGCTTCGATATTGCCTAAAGTCATAAGCTTTATAAGCAATACAACTAGTTATCTGAAGATTGGTTCCCTTGTTTTCGGTTAGTGATGTTGATAGCGCTAATTTGTTTGTTTGTTTTAATTTGAATGTGAAATAACAGTATGGTATCAGTATTATTCAAGGCAGTTGGTAGTTATTATCACAAAAACTATAGGAGTTATTTACTTAGACAGCTATTTAGTGAATAATCGATTGTCTTTGTTTTTATTCAACCCAAAGGTTTAGTAAACAACATTTTTGGTCATCATTATGTTTTCAGTTAAATTGCTTAAATCGGCTTTGATGAATGTACTTGGGTTTAAAAAACAATAAAAGATATGGCAAAAATAAAAGGAACGTATTAACGTAATCAGATCATTACCATTAAACTGATTAAAGTAACAAAGTAAATTATCAGTTATTAATCTCTTTCTGTGAATATAACAATTTAGAAATTATGAATTGGTGTTTCTTAGATTATTGAATTGTTGGAAGTAGGAAGATCAAGATGTTTAATCGAAGTCCTCGACTGCTCTTTTGAGTTCTAACGAAAGACCAAGTTCTCACGATCAGACTTAGTCAAATCGTTGTAATCTATGCTTACAAACATTGATTAACTTGGTTTAATGCTAGTGTCAGTAGTGCGGTTACATGTTCTAAGTTATCTTGGGCTTCGTGTGATTTAAAACCTGTCAATCTATGATCACATTCATTTTCTTCTATATTGTATTTTTCATCCTTAAATTTCAATTTCAGCTGGTGTTATTTCTTACGTTTCTTCTCATTTCGCCAACATTTCAGTTGTTCCGTTTGTCAGACAAGGTTTCTTACATTCCTCTTTTCTATTTGCTTTGGTAGATTATGAAGACCTCCATATTTGACGGGAAGCATGGAACATGAATGACAGCTTTCATGCAACTAGACGACTTGAACTTCACAGATGACCTGGCCCTTTTATCTCATATATATTAGTACGGCAGAAACCTCTGCATCAGTGGACCTCAACATGCACAAGGGAAAAAGCAAGGTCCTCAAATACAACACACAGAACACCAACCCAATCACACTTGATGGATAGGCTCTGGAATAGGTGGAACCTTCCACGTGCCTGGGAAGCATCATCGATGAACTGAGAGGATCTGATGCAGACATGGAGGCAGGGATCGGAAAGTAAAAGCAGCATTCCTACAATTGAAAAAAATCTTCAAACCAAAACATCTGTATGCAAGACAGCATCAAATTCAAAATCTTCAATACAAACGTCAAAACAGTTCTACTGTACGCAGCCGAAACTTAGAGAACTACTACAACCATCGTTAAAATCGTACAAGTATTTATAAACAATTGTCTGCTTAAGGTACTTAGTGTCCGTTGATCGAATAAAAACAGCATCAGCCTACTGTGGGAGAGAACTATCCAGCTTCCAATTGAAGAGGAAGTCACAAAAAGACGATGTAAACGGATGGGATGTACATTATGGAAATCATGATACTGCATTACGAGGCAAGCGCTAACATAGAATACTGAAAGTAAACAGAAAAGTTGAATGCCGAAAGGCACACTGAGTCGAAAAATGGAAACAGACATGAAAAGGATGAATAGCATCTGGAAACAACTGGAGAGTCGATGAGACAGTTGAATGGAGAATATTGGTGGTTGGCATTCGTTCTTTCATGGCGGGGTTACAGGTGTAGGTAACTATATAAAGTGTTAACATGTTCATTATAGAATAATAGCGTTGAAAGTATAATAGTAAGTAATTAACTGTTCAGATATTACAGCATGAGCATGTAAATATAACATTCACGAAACTGTTTTGTTTCTTGATGTAATTAGTAAATGATTAGGTGGGATCATTACAATTAATATAATAATGTATAGAATAGGTCTACTGCTTCAGATGGTATACCGATACTACAGGAGAAATCCATATGGTCTTTAAACATTCTTATAATCACTCTTTCACTACTCAAATGAATAAAACTAAATAAAAATTAAATACTTCAAATTACTAAAATGGAACAATTTAGTTAAAGTTAGAAATGTAAACCTATGGATGCCGGCTCACTGGTTCAAAGCTTAAGTATTGGTCATCTTACTAGATCTTAAATCCTATCCTTAATGCATTCGTATGTAGAGTGAAACAAGTTTTTGGTCCTTCCTGACTTTCTGTGGCTATTTATTTATATGAATTGTGAATTTCAACAATTTTTACAAACTCCTTATATTAAGAACTAAATTAAATGGGATTATGCAATGCAAAGTCTATTTAAAAAACAACATAACCAAATAGGACGACTGTGAATATGAAAACAATAAGGGTTAGAAAAACCTACTATTCACATCATAGATGATAAAAAGAAATCATAATCACTATAACCATATTAGGTTTAATAAAGGAATGTGAAACGATTTCTAATGCTCAAGGGAGATTTGGATTTCCATATGACCGAATATTTAACCTTGACCACTTTTATGTACCATTATAAAAATTATTCTTCGACTATTCTTATGATAGATTCTGAGTATATCTTTAGAGATAAAGAGGAGTGGATATTTATTTCACCGTTGAAATCTATATCCTTTTGTAGCTATGATTCAGATGCATATTTAGTTAGCCATAGTTGGATATTAAAATAACTCCTATCGTGTATATGTGAGTAAAATGATAAGCATAGTGGGATTGTACGAAACGTATTGTGGTAATATGTCACACTGTTTAATATTTTAAAAAAAAACTGTCTTCTCATTACATTTCTTAAATAAACGGCATACGGTTTGACAATATTTTTATGTCGATGTTTTGCTATATGAAGGAGACTTTGATGTACTCGAAATTAATGAGTTTATTTTAAATCCTGACTAAACTAATTGGTTGTAAGTGTACATGTAAAACAGATGGGGTTTGATGGCGGTCTTGAAAGCTCACTAATTGAATGAATTTAGAGATATGAGATATTGGGAATCAACAAAGTGGTCAAACGATAATTTACTTTTAAAGAAAATTGATTTGGATGTTTGTGAGTGTGAACTATTGAGGAAACGAAAATGAAAATTCAATTGTTCTTGATCATTAAATACAATGGATGATCGGATTGGGACGTAAAGGTGAGGATTGGCAAAGCAAGAGCCACATTCCTACAGTTGAAGAACATATGCAACTCAAAACAACTTCCAACCAATATCAAAGTCACAATCTTCAATACGAACGTTTAGGCAGTTCTACTGTATGGAGCTGAAACTTGGAGAACTACAACTACCACCATCAAGAATGTATAATTATTTATAAATAGTTGTCTACGCAAGATAGTCAATATCGGTTAGACGGATACCATAAGCAACAGTCTTCTGCAGGAGAAGAGAAACCAGATTCCAGCTGAAGTGGAAATTTAGAAAAGATGTTGGAAGTGGATAGGAATTATATTACGGGAATCATCAAACTACATCACGAGGTAAGCCTTAACCTGGAATTCTGAAAGGAAGCGTAAAAGTGAAAGGCCAAAGAACACATTACGTCGTGAAATAGATACAGATATGAAAAAGAATGAATAACAAGTGGAAAGAGCTGGAAAGGATTGTTCAGGACAGGGTTGGATGGAGAGAACTGATGGGCGGCCTATGCTTGTACACGTTACAATACCAAGTGTCTGGAATAACCGATTTGCAATTTTAGTTTAATACCAAGTAATAACAGATAGATAATAATGTTATAAAACTTCATAAAATTTATATTATACAATATTTTATTACTCGAGTCATTTTCATGTTTGTAACTAAGGTAGAAAACTTGTCTACTTTTGGTTGTGTTATGTTCTTTGATCCATATGGTCTAGTCATGGATCT